CCCTGGGGTCAGCTCTTCTCAGTAGGGGGCCGGGGTCCCCGGGGAAGCTGCCAGGACGCACTGGCCCTTGTGCTGAGGCCGGGGTAGCCCTGTCTCTCCAGGTGCCCATTACAGTAACTGGTCACAAGGACACGGGCAGCCGAGCCAGCTGGCCTCCAGGAGCCCAGAGCACAAAACGAGGAAACACACCGACACGTCCAAGTTCAATACAGGTGACACCGGACATACAAAGAGGGGGAGAATTCCCACCCAGAAGGCCCCAGCCAGCAGGAGAGCTGATGGCTTCGCAGGCTCAGCCTTCTGGGCCTCCCTCAACCAGCCATCACCCACCTGTCCTTGTGGGCAGGGGGCGGGCTTGCCCACCCAGTGAGGCTCAAATGTGCACCCGCTCTGGGCGAGCCGGAATGGAGGCGTGCTCAGGCTCTGTGGACGGACCGGCAGACAAATCATGGTCCCTACACCTGGGAGCCCTGAGCGAGCATGGTAGGGACTGGAGGAAGCCCTTACCCCGAGGGGTCAACCCAGGGGTCTCCTCCAGAAGGCATGGGGCCTCCGGCCACAGTGAGGCTGGGAAGTGAAACAAAGTGTCCTCAGAAGGAGGGAGCCCCGGCCAAGCTCACCACGCAAGGTGGGGCCTCAGGGGAGTGAGCTGTGGAGGGCAGAGCCCAGGGGAGGCGCAGGGCGGGCGCCAGGAGAGTCTGATGAAGGAGATCTGGCGACCGCATCCTCCTCTGCTTCCAGGCAGCCCGCCTGGGTTCACCCCACTGAAGGCCATGCGGTTTCCTCTTCAGAGTGAGCTAGTCTGACAGCTCTCCTGCCTCCGTCTGTACCTCCAAGTCCCCAGAGCCCCGGCTCTGCACAATCCCTGCGTTCTGCAAATCCAAAAACTGGCCCCTAGCCACTTGTCGGGCTGCTGTCACTCTCACAGTCATTTATTAAGCACCTACCACGTGCAGTCACTTTGCCAAGCATGAGGGACATTAGGAACGAACACAGGGACCAGGGTCTGAGTGGGAGCCAGTGAAGAGGCTAAGAAAGGACAGGAAGGGGGCTCCGCATGGCTCATTAGGTGAGCAGGAATGCAGGGCTCCTGGCACAGAAACCCCGAGCCTGGAGGGGAGTGGGGAGGCCTGGGTAGCTGGGGTCTCGGTGCAGGGACAGGGACATGGGGGCTCGAGGCACTACACCCTCGAGGCAGCGGAGCCCGGGCTGAGGAAAGGAGGCGGCACAGGGAGGATGAGAGCAACAGAGCTTCCATTACAGTAAGGACACACGCGTGTCAGGGAGCAGGTGTCTGGGCAGGAATTATTCTAAAGAGACACCAGGACGGGGTCTGAGGACCCCCAACCTGCACCCATTCCTGCAGTTGTCCCGTCTACCCTTGGGAGGCAGATCCCACCCACATGCCAAAGGCTCCGGCCCAGTGTCCCCATCCTGCACCTGCGCCTCCGAGCCGGCTGACGCCCACTCAGACGTTTCCCAGGCAGCTGGGTGCTTCCTTTCCTCATCTGCCCTCTTTCGCACGGCGTCTTGGGTGCTTGGGGGACAGGTCATCCCCCCGTTCGGCTGACGAGTAGTGAAGCTCCACGCACGGGGCCCTGGGGGCTGGCGCCTGACCCCAGGCCCTCGAGGCCCAGAGCACGGAAGGGAGGCCCTGCCACAGGTGGGGTTTGTCCTCCGAGGACAGGAGTGACCTGGCCCACTCCGCTCTGTCCTGAGCGACACCCGACGAGCCGGCAGGTGTCCGTGGACTATGCATTGGTCCCACCGTAGAGATGGCTGCTGGACGGTGCCTGTCCTTGGAACCAATGGGGATGAAGGACAGCAGGTGGGTTCCAGGACGCAGGAGGAGGAGCTGGGAAGGCAACGAGGAAGGGTCTGGGCCAGGGTCGTGCCGACGGACGGGTGGCCCTCTCCCAGAACCAGCGGCCCAGGCCCCGCGGTGGATGCAGCCAGCAGCTGAGGAGAGTGTGGGTGAGAGAAGGGCCCCTACACTGCGTCAGACATACGGATGCTTCTGGAGACTGGATACCCCCTCAGAAAACAGCACGAGGCCAGGCCAGCTCCGAGAGGTTTAACCGCTTGTCCCCCAGCCCACTCAGCGAGCCCCAGGAAAGAGCCTGCCTGGGATGGGAGCGGGTGCCGCGTCCCCAGAGCAAAGGTCACTCCGGAAAGGTCCTCCTTGGGCAGGTGTCACGACTGGACTGCACGCAGGGCCCCAGCAGCCTCCCCCCACGACCTTCAAACCACAGCTGCAGGGCTGGAGAAGGCTCCCTGTAATTCAGTCCCGTGAGGGCGTGATTTAAGACAGGGCAACACCCAGGGGGATGACCGCCACCCCAAACTGCCGTTCGCCGACACAGGCCCCGCTCCCTCCCGGCCCAGGCCCCAACCTGCGAAGACCCCAGATCCACCCTGTGGCCTCAGATGCCTGCTCATCACCCAGAGGAAGATGGTCTGACCTCTATCACCCACGCGCGATGCCCCCAAGGCCACGTGAGGGTAAGCGTCGGCTCAGCGCTTCAAAAGGGAGTGGGTACATAAACAGCGAATCAGCCTCGGGGGACACCTGGCCAGGGCCTCCTTCTTCGGTGCCTGCTGAGGTCCTGGGGTCTGTGGCTATTGCCAGGGCCCCTGGGGCAATGGTGCCGGGCCCGGCGCTGTGCCCGGGGAGGTGTGGGACAGGAGCGAGGGCCCTGCTCTGCCTCGGCCCCCGGAGGAGAGTCCAGCCCCCGGCTCAGGGGACCTGGGGGGGCAGGAGGCTGTGATCAGAGCAGAGCAACTGGGAGGGCGGTGGGCACACAGGAGCCCCTACGCCCTTGCTCTGAAGGACCGTCTCCAGGGTCCAGCAGTCGAGCCCCAAGGGCACTGACTCCCCGTTGGCTGAGTGTCTGAGCCACATGAGCCTCAGGAGGCCCTGCTGACTGGTTTCCAGCCCCGAGCCCACACTCTCAGCCTCTGGGATGATGCCCGAGTCCCTTCCAGAGCAGGGGTGCCAGTGCGCCGGGCTCGGCCTCCCGCAGGGGCACCATTACCTGCCTCATGTTTCCTACAAAATTTTTTCTTAGTTTCTTAAACTGCATTTTAAAGAGAAGTGAAAAATGTTAGCTACATCACTTCACAGCTGCACCACCCCACCAGCACCTCCCAGATCAAGCCTCGAAGCCTCTCCACAGCCAGGGCCTCCCTCTCGCTTCTCTGCTCGGTCTCCCCAGGGCACCCCCTTCCATCAGCCACGGGTGAGGGGGGAGTTCTGCTGCTCCTGAACTTCCTAAAAGGGAAAGTCTTCAGTGCACTCTCTTTTCCACCTTGTTTCTTTAAAAATGTGTCCGTGAGCTGCATCCATGCTTTTAAACGCCCATCCTTTCACCTTCTCTGGCCCCCCTTGGGAAGTCCCAGCTCCGTGACTCGGCTGAGCTGACTCCGTTTGGGGGCGTTGTCACAGGCCCCTGGGACCTTTCTGTGGGTGGCTCCGTGAGAGTCTGCCTTGGAAGAGGTTCCACTGGCCAAAGATGCCGGGGGGACAGACTCTCCACGTGTGGACAGCACTGTGGGGGTTTCACGCGTCGAGTTCTTGGGTCTGAAGCAGCAGATGCAGAGACCACCTCCCAGAGTTGGAGCAAATGCACAAGTGAGGCCGGAGGTGCTGTGGGCTGTGGGCCTTGCCAGGGGTGGGGGGCAGAGAGCAGAGCGTGTGTGTGCACATGTGTGCACGAATGTGCCCCTCTCAAGTGTACCAGTGTGTGTGCGGACTTACTGTTGGGGAGGGTCTGAGAGTCACCCGGGGAGCTGCTGCTTCAGAGTACACATAAGAACCGCGGGTTCCGGACATGTAGGGGAAGGGGAGGAAAGGGCCGGAGATGAGGCTGGAAAAGTGGAGGCTAATCAGCGCGGAGAGCCTGGGCCACCCACCCCAGCCAGCGGCCTTCATCTGGCAGGTACCGGAATCCACTGGCCCACAGGGCTCAGCAGGGGCAAAGCTGGCCATGTCCCCTGCATCGTGTGTGGCCCACCCTGGGCTGGGGGAGCACAGGCTCTGAGCGAGGACGCTGGGGGGAGGGAGTAGGGCCCAGCTGAGAGCCGTCGGCCTGGGATGGCACCCGGCTCTGGGCCCCTGCGGAGTCGGGGGCGGCCCTGCACACAAGGGGTGCGAGAGGCCAGACAGGACTCCTCAGGAGGGTTCGGGGCCCACGCCCCGTGAGCACTGGCTAAAACGACTCCTGGGGGTGAGGCAGTGCGCACAGGCGCAGCGCGGGGTTAGCCTGGGGACGTGCGCATGCGGACGTGTGCTGACAAACAGCAAACACACACGCAGACCACAGCGAGCAGGGGCCGAAAGGTCAAAGGCTCTGAGCGCTCCTCGCTTGGCCACCGCCCGTAACTTATTCACTGGAAACCCAGAGCATCTTGGTCACAGAAAAGAGGCAGGAAGCCAACCAGCCTCAAACGAGCCCGAGCACCTCCACTCCAGGGTTGGAGCTGATGAGCCGCCCCAAACCCCAAGTCCGGGGAGCCTCAACGTTCCCTTCAGTGGCTGGCAGTGTCCCCGGGGAAGCTGCTTCCTGTGGTGAGCTCTTCTCCCCGGGGTTCTGGGGGCAAGCCCAGCAGAACCTGGAGGGTCTCAGAGAAATGGGGCGGGCCCAGGTTTCCCGTGAGAAGTAGGGAGCCCTGCCTCATTGGCCACGTGGCAAGATGATGGGCTGGGACGGACCACCCCCAAGAGGCAGAGGCACTTCTCACAGCCTCAGGGTTCAATAAAACCCAAAAGTTGTCCCCATCTGAACTCCGATTACTGTGGGGTAACCTTCTTCCCCCGAGGAGAGCTCATCTCTGGTCTGGTAAAGCAAACAACAAAGGGAAAGAGAGGGCGTGGGTCTGGGAGCCTGGCCTCACCTCCACGTGCAGGAGGGGTGGAT